AGTCCACAAAAGCTTATGCTCTAATAAATTTGTTAGTCTCTAAGGTGCCACAAGTACTCCTGTTCTTTTTGCGGATACAGACTAATACGGCTGCTACTCTGAAACCTGTCAAAATGTTTGCTATGGAGCTCGAGTAGAACACGCCCAAAAGCACAGTGTGCCCATAAACAATATAGCTGTCAACTGGTATAATAGGATCCAAAAACCAAGATAACAAAGCCAATATTTAGTAGAATCTTTTAAGTAATCAGAAATATATGGTTCAGTAGAGGTTAGTTTTTAGGTTGAACTAAACTGTACTGGAAACCATGTGAATACTTTAAAGTGGTTGTTTATAATTTGGTCACTAGGATGGTCCTTAGTGAGATTCTCCTTTATGCAAGCAGACAAGCACACATGCAGGTACAAAAAACCGTTACCCTCTCGTAACTGTTGTTCTTCAAGATGTGTTCACGTCCATTCCAATCAGATGTGTGCGCATTGCGTGCACAGTCTTCAGAAAGTTTTCCCTTAGCAGCTACCATCCGGTCAGCTGTGGAGTCCCATGGAGTGGCGCCTTCATAGCGCTCAATATATGACCCTGCCGACCTGGCCCCTCCTCAGTTCCTTCTTGCCGGCTATTCCGACAGAGGGGTAGGAGAGTGGGTATTGGAATGGACATGGGCAACACATCTCAAAAAACAGCAGTTACGAGAAGGTGAGTAATTGTTTTTTCTTCTTCGAGTGCTTGTTCATGTCAATTCCAATCAGGTGACTCCCAAGCTCTACACTGGAAGTGGGGTTGGAGTTAAGGAATCGCTGATTGGAGCACTGCTCTGACGAATGCTGCATCATCTCTGGCATGCTGGGTAATAGCATAATGAGAGGTGAACATATGCACCAAGGACCACGTTGCTGCCCTGCAAATTTCTTGTATCGGGACTTGGGCCAGGAACGCCACTGATGAGGCCTATGCCCTCGTGGAATGTACTGTAAGTGCCGGGGCTGGGATCTTGACCAGCTCGTAGCATGTGCAGATGCAGGATGTGATCCAGGAAGATATTCTTTGAGATGAAACTGGGAATCCTTTCATCCAGTCTGCTACCGCTATGAACAGCTGGTTTGACTTCCTGAACGGCTTAGTGCACTAGATGTAGAATGCTAGCGCTCGCCGAATGTCCAATGAGTGTAGCCTCTGCTCACGGCTACTGGCATGAGGCTTAGGATAGAAGACAGGTAGAAAAATGTCTTGGCTAGTATGAAAGAGTGACACTACCTTTGGAAGAGAGGCTGGGTGAGGCCTGAGTTGCACCTTATTCTTGTGGAAGACAGTGTAGGGTGGCTCAGAGGTAAGGGCCTTTAGCTCTGACACCCTCCTAGCTGATGTGATGGCCACCAGGACGGCTAGCTTCCACGATAGATAGAGAAGGGAGCAAGTCACTATTGGCTCTACCCCCCGGTGGTGGGCGGGATTGAGGCAAGGGTCTGCCAGAGAGTCTTAATATTGCTCTGGATAATTTTTATTAGTGGCAGAGCTCCCTGGACGGTCCCTCTGGCCATGCGTCCTGTGGTCAATTGGGGGAGAGCCCAAGGTTGACGCTCCCACCACCGCTTCATCCGGGGACGAAGATGAGGAGGCCAGAGGTGGTACAGGGTCCTCCTGACCCTCTGGCTCTCTGCCCTCCTCCTGTTCAGCATCTGGGGCCCTGTGGCAACCGTAGCCGAGGTGGTAGTAGCCTGGCCTTGCAATGGGTCGTGCCTCGGAGGTGACCTGGGCTAGCTGTGGGGCTTGCGCCAAGGTCACCTCGGAACCACGGGGCGTAGGCCAGTCTTTGGCTATCTGGGATGGTCAGTGCTCCGAGGCCACTGAACGGGAGCCCCTGGAAAAGAAGCCCTGGGCCTGTGGTAAGCCCAGGGGGTCCAAAAAGGCCATTGTGCCGGAGGCTGCCACTGGGGGTTGCCATGCCATTGGTGCCTCCCTCCGTCGCTTGTTGGATCTATGCCTGTTGCGACGGGAATAGTGCGAGTCACCATCCGAGTCCAAAGACACGGATCTCGACTGAGATGACCACAGTGACGCCGCATAGTGCTACGCCGGGGACCTGCGCCATGTTCATAATGCAGGGGCCAGGTGTCGAGATGCCCGGGCCAGGGACTGAAACCGGTGTTAGGGACTGGTGTCTTAGATCTGTTGCCGGGGAGCGGTGCCAGGGGTATGGTGCTAGTCCTCTCTCAGAGCCGGGGATCACTGCTGCCCCCTCGTCGGTGCCAGGGAGCGTCGTGCCGCTGGTGCTGGGGAACCCTTCATGGAGTCCGCTGCTGGAGAATGGTGACTTGTGGATGGCGATCTGGAGCGGTGCTGAGGCGAACGGTGCCAGGCCGGAGAGGGTGACTGCCGCATCATGGCCAGCTTGCCTCTAGATGGCCTCTGATCACTGGGGGCTGAGGAGCCGTCATCTCTATCAAGTCTCTGACAGCTTCAAAAGTGTCTGGGGTGGACAGTAACTCCAACTCCTCCACCTGGCACTGCCCATCCCGGGAGTCGCTGTGCACCGTACTCAACGGTCCGTTCGTGGGAACCGAAGTCGATGGCGCCGACTCTTGTTGCCTAGACGCCGAGGGCGCCTTCACAGGACGCCCTGGTACCGCGTCTGCAGGTCCCGCTGTTTTCTGCGCCTTGGAGCGCCCCGTCGGCTTGTCTATGCCGCTTGTACAGCATCGGTGAATGTGAGCGGTGCCGGGTTGTCTGTGCCTCCTGCAGTGCCAGACAGCGCCGGTGCAGAGGGTCTTTTAGACTAAAGTCCTTCCTCAGCACCGTGTTACATACCGATGCCGGGGCACTCCGTACGGATGCGCTCGGTGCAGGGTCTTGGCAGTCCGCAGCAGACTTGGGACGAAGGGCAGATTCCATGAGCAAATGCTTCAATCGGAAATCTCGCTCCTTTTTAGTGCTGGGGTGGAAAGCCCTGCAGATCTTGCACCTATCTATCTGGTGCGTCTCCCCCAGACACTTCAGACACGAGTTGTGGGGGTCGCTCGTTGGCATAGGTTTGCTGCAGGTTCTGCAGGGTTTAAAGCATTGGGACCGTGGCACGCCCCGGGGCCTGGGATACCCCACTCCCAAACCTCACTACATACAATATATACACACTAACAACTAAGACTAACTACAACTAAACTAGGCTAAGCTAACTATATGAAAAAAGCTAAGGGAAGCTCTTGCTAGGCAAGCGACCACAGTTCCAATGATCGTCACTGGCGGTAAGAAGGAACTGAGGAGGGGCCGGATCGGCTGGGTCATATACTGAGTGCCATGCAGGCGGCACTCCAGGGGGCTCCACAGCCGACCTGACTGGAACGGCTAAGGGAAAACTTTCCGACGACTGTGCACGCCGCACGCCCACACCTGATTGGAATTGACGTGAACAAGCGCTCGAAGAAGAATCTCTATTTCAGATGTCAGTGTGAAAAATGCTTAGTACCACTTCTGTTCAGAATATTTACAGGATAACAAGAAATCATACGAGTTGCAACTGTACCCCTCAGCTAAATACAACATTAATTGGCTTTAGGACTTGGTTATTAGAATAAATATGAAAGCTAAAAAAAGTGGACAAGCAAGAAGCATGTAGAAAAGCAATACTTACTTCCATATGGACTCTCTGTCAGTAGGATATTTGGTTAGGTTTTTCAGCAGCTCCACCAATGCAAGATGGATGCCTTCTTTAGTCGAGACATTGGTGCAGCACAGTAGTTCATGAAGTGCTTCCCGAATATCTCGGGAGGAATCCTAAAAACCAAGAGCTCTAACTATTAGCATGCACGTGTGTGTGTGGGTATATATATATTTATATTTTAAATATGTTGATTTTTTTACTTGGCTTGTAGAATTAGTCCCATAGGTTCCCTAAATTCAATGGCTATTTCTAGTAGGTTACAGCAAAACCCAGAGGACCATCAGTCCAGCCCACCTGCTGCAGGCTCTGTTTCTTTTGAACTCAGCCAAGATGTCTCACTTACACATGCGCTGCCTTTCACAGATGAAAACTTTTCCACTCTTCACTCTCTCAAATGAAAATCAGTAGGAGTGGTAAATATACCAACCAGTATCCTCAGGCACAAAGTCTCTCGTAGATATTTAGAGGTGCTGGGTAATTATTGCCTGGCCAAGCAGATGATGGCTGAAAACTACATTTAGCCATTTAGGAAGAAGTGTTCCTTTATTCAGCATTTGAAGCTAGAGCCTGCAGGCCCTTAATCAGGCAAAATTCCCATTCAATGGAAGAAGTTATGCCCCTGGCAGCATTGAATGGGTTTGCAAAGGTGCCACTGAAGGCCATATTCTGGCCTGCAAAATCTATTACTGGAGATGATGTATGGGATGAACAGAGCCAAGAATGACTCTCAGTTCCTAGGCTGAGTTTTCCAGGCTGGCAGTCGGGGGTTGGGGGGGGGGGAGATCTTTTTACTTTTGAACTGCACAAAGCTTGATATTGGAATCCAATGAGACAATAAATATGGAATCCCACAATGTCATTTTGCAGTCACCTTTTAAGGCTGAAAAACACTTCAAGAGGCACTTTGCTGCCAGAAGTGTCACCTTTCACATACACCGTAACATGGAGGTCCTATAGCTCTATTTATACAAGTGTTTACTATTGTACCATAGCTGAATTCCAATTTGAAAAATTACATTCTACCTGCCTAAAATACACTCTGTAGTTTCAAATGCACACATTATTCTTCCTCTTTACCAGTACTTATGCAGTGTTACTGTGTGCTGTTAAAAAGCTTTTGTGTTCTGCTCCAGAGGTGGCTGCATATCAGTGGTAGATTTTTTTCTTTTATTTACGATTTGCTGAACACCAACACCAACACCATGAGAAGAAACAGAAGCCTTGACGTTAAGAATCTCAGTCTAACTAAACAAAGATAGTGCAATAGGTGATCAAAGAGTGGAAGTATCACAGGGCTGTGCAGAATGTTTGGTGTTGGTCTTGTTTTTTTTTTTAAATAAAATAACACTGCTGAGTGGACAAAGCTTCACAAAGAAAGTGTGTTCTAAGGAGGGACTTGAGAGAGACAATGAAAACATCGCATGCAAGGTCAGGCATAGGGATCGCAAGGAAAGTATTAGCCAAAGTGCTCGGAAACCCTTCAGGATCAGAGATGCTATATAAAGCATCAATTATCACATTTCAGCTGGCATAAACATGAATGATAAATCAGCGTAGAAATACAAACAACAAAAAAAGATGTAGGACTAAATTTTCAAACATCATTAGTGATTTTAGGTGCCTTGATTTTTGGGTATCCAACTTTAGCTTTTTTGACAGTTTAGACCATACTCTGTATCAGCATATATCTTGACTTTTCATACAAAAATCAAAGGTAATAAATTCTAGGAGAACAAAGACAATGACCATGGGAAGCTCTTTCCAAAGAGAACACTTGCCTCCAAGACAGCTAGCACGGTATCGAGCTGGTCCTCTCGCAGCGTTATGTTGTTGGAGATTTTTCTCATCGTGTGTATCGACTGCAATCTTACCTCTTCGATCTCATCATTAAACATGTCTACTAGAAAATCAAGACACTTCTCTGCAAAAGATTGTGAAGACTGAGCCAGCATACAGAGGGCCTCAACTGCAGCAATCCGAACCTCTGAAAGAAGGGGAAAAAAAATCTTATTTGGGGTTATTTTTAATACTGGTCAAAAGCTATATCACCTAGTGGCCAGACCTCAAGCTATGCAAGGGTAAGAATTTTGATAGGAGACCACTAAGGACAATCTAGAGACAGCTCTGGGGATTCAGTTAGGTATCATTCACTCCAGTTCTGAACAGCACAAGCTACCATTTGAAGTGACACTGAAGGTATTTTCAGGTGAGGAAAAAAAAAGTTTATTATTAGAGAGCCATGACGTGTTTTGCAGGAGTAGGGGTTTGGATAATTACATTCTGCCTCCCTGTAGTCTTCCTGCCATTTCGATTGTCTAGAGTGTTCTTCACATCCTTCCTTCACTTGCTGTGTAGTTCTCTACAAACGTTACATTTCACCCCAGGGTGACTGTGTTTCAACAGCAGAACAAGTGAACCCTGCAGTGGTTCTCAAACTGTGGGTTGGGATCCCAAAGTGGGTTGCGACCCCGTTTTAATTGGGTCGCCAGGGCTGGCTTAAACTTGCTGGGATTCAGGGCCAAAGCCCAAGCCTGAGGGCTCGGGTTACAGGCTCCCTGCCTGGGTCCCCCGGCCGGGGAAGTGGGGCTTTGACTTTGCCCCTCCCCCAGGGTGACGGGGCTTGGGTGGCTCAGGCTTCAGTCCCCCTCATGGGGTCCTGTAGTAATTTTTGTTGTCAGAAGGGGGTCATGGTGCAATGAAGTTTGAGAACCCTTTGTTTAGAGCTGTGTGATCCCTCAGAAGGGAAGAGGTACCATGTGAATGATTAATATGCATGTTATTGGAAAGACCTGAAGGGATAGCCAAACAGCCAACGTGTATTCATGCTGTAAAAAACACTGTAGGTATTTGAAGTACCTCCACATGTAATTCACTAAATGAAGGCAAAAGACTCTCATCTAGTTTCTGCAAGCTTTTGTGTCATAAAAACGACAGAACCAAATCTGACATGTGATAAGATATTTCAATTTTTCCATCCAAAAAAGCTCAGCTTGAAAACACTGAATTAAAACTTGCAAATGTAGCATGTTAGGCCTATTGTTCTTGAAAAACATGGTGTGACTCCTGATGCCTCTGATTAACTGGAAAAAATACTATCACAGGAAGATGTCTGCTTATTTATAGATCCTTTCCCCTCATCCACCAACCTACTCACTACAGTCAAGGCAGCAGAGATTAAAACACATTTCATTGATATTGCTCTGACAAGGCAGACTAAGATACAGATTAAAAATCAGTGCATGGGAAAGCTGCAATGCTGTGTATAAGGTGGGATTGTAGCCAGTAGCACTTAAAGTGCAGTAATGGTCAGAGGGGTGACTGTGGACATAATTAATTTCCACATCAGTTCACCAGATCTGTGTGTATTCTAAGTCAACCATTCTTCATTGATAGAAATGCTACCTTTGGTAGAGTATAAAATCTATGTGACAGCAAGTTGGATATTGTGGTATGGAAATCAGAATTGTTCCAAGTGAAAAATCTTTATTATTAAGCCATAAAGAACCAAGGTTATTTTTCACATCCCAGAAAGATTTTTACAGAAACATCACGTAATTTTAATTGCAAATTGAGCAAGCCTAATACAGAAGTCATAGAGCAATGTGTTACAGAGTGATTTTACAGAGATACTTTTTAGAGCACACCCTGTACTTTCTAATGTCGCTCCATCCATGCGATAAATTTTAAAAGCAACAATCAGAAATTACAGCTCATAGAAATTTTCATGTTCAAGACACTTCACTAACATTAACCCTCTCAATAGTCCCATGGAGATACAAGGAGTAAGAATTATTCCCAATTCACAGATGGGGAAGCTGGGGCAGAGAGGTGAAGTGACCTTGGTGAGTCCCATCAACAAGGTCAGTGTCATTGTCATAGCCAAGTTTAGAACTCCAGGGCTTGGGTCCCAATGTTGTGCTCCAAACTACAGCTGGCCAACTCTGTTAAAACTATTTCCAGTGAGAGAGGACAAACATGCTTTAAATTGTTGTAAGATTAACGTAGTTTCCCCCTTTCTCTAGACTCTAGAGAATCTGTCCACTTCCAGCAATTAAAATTTCCAATTTAGGACCCAATCTAGCTTACTGAAGTCAATAAAAACACATCAGTGGGAGCTGGATCTGGTCCCTGAACAATAGAAGTAGACACTCTTTTCCCCACACACGTACCTAAATTAACTGCTTATAAAAAATGATTGATTTCAGGGTACCCTAATACAGAATGCTTTGCCTGTCCAAAGTGCTGAGCTAACATTAATTCAGTCTTGCAAAGTCATGAATATTTACCAACTGGGAACAAAATCTACTTGCTCACCCTCACCGAGATGGTAATGAAAAAAA